TGTAGCAGAATCTTAAAAGTTCTTATTCATAAAATCAAACCCGAGGCCAGTTATTGGGGTCAATGCTGGTAGATCAGAGAGACAGAACAATCCACAGCTATCTCACCTTGCCAGTTCCTCAGCTGGTCCTGTCTCCTCAGACTGGAAGCTTCTGCGTCCTCATCCCAATGGCTCTCACCTGAACTGCTGCTTAAAAGCCTGAATGCTTAACCAGGCCAAAATCCTCTAGTTTCTGGTCCTCACGCCTTATATATCTTTCTTCTTTCTACCACCGCTCCCTGGGATTAAAGGCTGGCTTTCTGGGATTAAAGGTGTGTGTCACCACGCTTGGCTATTTCCAATGTGGCCTTGAACTCACAGAGATCCAGAGGGATTTCTATCTCTGGAATGCTAGGATTAAAGGCGTGTGCTATCACTGACTAACTAGTGGCTTGTCTGTTCTCTGACCCCAGGTAAGTTTATTAAGGTACATAATATTTTGGTGACACAATACCACCACAAAGATGAGCTGAGCCTGGTGTCTGAAACCATAGGGAAGACATTCCAGAGGACAAATGTTTAACAAGAGGAGGGAGGCACGGAGCCGGCCAGGAGGCAGTCCGGGAGGGCGGCGGCATAACAGAATGGATGGAGCCGTGTGAGAGGGAAACCCTAGTGGGAAGTAGAGTAGGAGCGTGTGTGGGTGTCCAGAGCAAGGGCAGGGGACAGGGCAGAAATAAGGTGAGCATCAGAATAAGGTCCCAAACCCTGGTGGCCAGAGTGATAGCCACATGGCTGTTGAGCCCTTCAGACGTGGTTGTGGATAATTAAGGTGTGCTGCAAATGTAAAACACATACCAGATTTTGAACACAGTTGGAAAAAAAATATAAACTGCCACTTAGTTTTTGTTGAATTGAAAGTATTTTGTATATATTAAAATATTATTAAAATTAATATCTCTTTTTGCATTTTGAATGTGGCTACTAGAAAATTCCAGGTGTGGCTACATTATATAATTTGAAGTTATTTATGTGGCTTACATTAAATTTCCCTTTGACAGTGATAGTCCAAAGGAATGTCCGAGCACACCCCCCACACATGGTGTATGTACCTCCAGGATGGCACTGAGCTCCACCCTGAGAATTTAGGTAGAAAAAAATTAACAGTTTTCTTAGAAATGACTACAGTTCCTCTATGTGTGTTAGAATGTGTGTGTGTGTGTGTGTGTGTGTGTGTGTGTGTAGGGAGGACCTTCCTTGTACTCTGCCCCTCTACTAGAGAGTGAAGACGGACATACACAGAACTTATATCAATAATGCCTTAAGCTAGGCTTGGTGGCACACGCTTTTAATTTCAGCATTCTGGAGATGGAGGCATGTGAATCTTTGTAAGCTTGAGACCAGCTGATCTATGTAGCAAGTTCCCAGGGCCAGGGCTACATAGAAAGACCCTGTCTCAAAACAAAACAAAACAAAACAAAACAAAACAAAACAAAACAAAACAAAACAAAACAAAAACTCCAAAACAATGTCTTAAGGAAACATGTATACCCAAGAAACCCATGGCATCTCCCTGTCTATTCAACCCAGTCAGTCCTTCATTCCTAAGGATAATTGTTATACAACCAAGGATGATTAGGTACATGACCTGAGAAAATGACTGCAAAAGGAAGAGAAAAGAACAAATAATTCGACTACTGACCCTGGAACAAATAGAGCTAATTAACTGTTTCAATTAGTCTTCTCAGAAATATTCGATATGGGACTCACGAAGGAAAAACAGTATAAGAGCAGAGCAAAAAAATGAATGTGAATTAATTCAAAAACTTAAACTCAAGAGTTGGAAGGAAAAGTAATACAAAAGGGCTCACCTGGAAGGTCCATCCAACATTTGATTAATAAGAATTCCAGAAGGAAAAACAAAACAAAAAATACAGAAAAACAAGCGAGCCCTGGAGATGTCTCAGCAGATAAAGGCTAAGCCTGGCATGAGCTGGATCCCTGGGCCCCACCGCGGAAGGAGATAACCTGTTTCTTCTGCAAGTTGTAGTCTGACGCCCAACACACACACACACGTCATGCCCATGTGTATAGATTTATAAAATCTAAAGCTGTTTTAGAAAGTCCATAAACCTAGGAAGAGATATTGAACTGGCCAAAGATATTTTCCCAAATTGAAAAAAAATATATGTATCTTAAAATTGAAAGTACAGATGAGACAATTGTAGGAAAGCCTACTTCTGGATGCCTCTTTGTGAAACCACGTAAGATCAAGAAAATGGGGAGAGCATCCTAAAAACAGTTTTTTCTGGGGAAAAGCAATGGGTAACTTACCAAGGAGGGAGGTACGCACAGGCATCAGGCTTTGAATTTACTCTGCTGGGTGGGAGGCAGTGCCACAAAGTCTCCACAATTCTGACAAACGCATTATCTTGTAGGCAGAACTCTATACAGCCAAAATACGATGAAGCCGATGGATAAACGGCATCTTGAAACATGCAAGCACCCATAAAAATAAATCAGTGTTAAGTTGGGCGGTGGTGGCACCTGCCTTTGATCCCAGCACTTGAGAGGCAGAGGCAGGTGGATCTCTGTGAATCTGAGGCCAGCCTGGTCTACACAGTGAGTTCCAGGACAGCCAGGGCTACACAGAGAAACTCTGTCTCTAAAAAACAATAAATAAATAAATAAATAAATAAATAAATAAATAAATAAATAAATAAATAAACAAATAAACAAATCAGTATCTCTATCCCTTTCTCAAAAAAGTTACTAGAGAGTGTGCTGCAACCAGATGAAAACAGACCCATGAGTGGTAGGGTCCAACAAGAGAGAACCTAACCTGAAATAATAAAAAAAAAAAAGTAGCATTAAGTCCATTGGGGAAAACAGGCTTAGAAAACAATAATACTAGTAATAATAATAATGGAGGCAAAGGAAGGAGGAAAGGGAAGAAATAAAGAAAAAATGAAACAAGAATTCTTTTCTTTTTTCTTTTTCTTTTTCTTTCTTTCTTTCTTTCTTTCTTTCTTTTTTTTTTTTTTTTGGTTTTTTTTTTTTTTTTTTTTTTGGTTTTTTGAGACAGGGTTTTTCTGTGTAGCTTTACGCCTTTCCTGGATCTTCTTCTGTAGACCAGGCTGGCCTCCAACTCACAGAGATCCGCTTGCCCCTTGCCTCCACAAGAATTATTTTATTTTCACTGTGTGTTATAAGTAGAAAGATTGATCAAAGTAGCCCTGACTGGCTTGGAACTCACTCTATAGGCCTGGCTGACTGAGAATGGACAAAGATCTGTCTGCCTGTTATTAAAATGTGCTCGAGTTTCTTTTAAGTTTGATTTTTGAGATTGTAATATAAGTACATTTCTCCCTCCCTCCCCTCCCTCTAAGCCCTCCCATCCACCCTGCCCTCCTTTAAATCCATGGCCTCTTCTTATTGTTAGTGCATGCATACATGCATATACACATATATTCCTAAATATAACCTGTCCAGTCTGTATAATATTACTTACATGTGTGTGTCCAGGGCTGACTGACAGGCACTGGTGTTGGTGTGCTGGAGAAGACCAGCTTCCCCTAACCCTTCTATTCTCCCTTCTATTTCTTTTTCATCTTTAGTTGTTTGCCATGCCTCACGGGTTTGAGTGAATGCCTGAAGGATACCTTTTGTGAGCCTCGTTTTAGTTCAGTCTGGCTTAGCAGAACCCAAAAACAAAAAATAAAAATAAAGCAGTCTTCAAAGGTGTAGAGGTGGGAGCCGAGTCCTCCCAGCCTCCAGGTGGCAGCCAAGTCCTCCCAGCCTCCAGCATCGGAAGTGCAACTCTTGTCTCTCTCAAGTCCGCTGTCCGACATGGAATCTTGGAGGAAGCTGCTTCGGGCGTCCTCATTGGTGGGAGCCCAGTCCTTAGAGCAGCATGTGGGTTTGTTGGGAGACTTAGATGAAGTCATGGCTGCCAAGGGCTCTGTGCCATGGCCACTCACAGTGCCAGCTGCATTGGCAGCCCTGGCTACTTAGCTTCCAGGCTGGGACAGGAATCTTCTGGAAAGCCCAGACCTGAACCATTGAAGACCTCAGGGGCATTTTCCCAGTGGGGATCACCCCCATGGAGAAGACAAGACCCTGCTGTCTGTCAGAGGCACAGAGAGCAGCCTTGGGCCCTTCTTTCTATCTCAGTAACATAGATAGTCCAAGTCCGGCTGGTTCCCCTGCCTTGGTGAGAGCCTAGCGACCATGGTGTGTAAGATGCCTCAGTCACGGGCTGGCCTGGGTGGCCTGGTCCCAGACAAAGCTTAACCATTTCCTGCTGTTCTGTTTCCAAGACAGGGCATTAGACAGAAAGTCCAACTCACTCTTCCCAGCCCTCAGACCCTAGAGTCCAAGTTCCAGCTAACTTAAAAAAAAAAAAAAATTCCCGTCATGGTAGAGCACACACTCAGATTCAGGCTGGGAATCACCAGGTGGTGGGGCTTCCAGAAGTCTAGGCTGAGACAATGGAGAGCCTCTGCCTGCTTGCTGAGGTTTCTTGGTCTGAATCACTCAGCACAGGGGTTGCTAGCAGCGGGTGTGACTACCCTAGCCACAGCCACACATCTGGCTGACTCTAGAGAAGAGGGATGGTGCCCCAAACCTCCAGGGGCTCATGGGTAGAACAGTTCTCCGACATGTGCTGCAAGGTGTGTAGAGTTTAGAGTTTCTATGTGTATATTTTTTTCTTTCATTAAAAAAAAAGTAAGGAAATTATGGAGTGACCATAATTAACAAATTAATGCTAGGACAATTGTCTGTTGTGTAAATATATACTGTTTTCTAAACAATCACAGATGTTCTGCCTTTGTTTTATAAATGCATATACCAATTTTTATTTATTTATCTATTTATTTATTTATTACATTTATCCACAGCACAAGGGTGGAGGTGAGAAGGTGGGGGTCAGTTCTCTCCTTCTACCACGTGTGATCCAGGGATTGGACTCAAGGCATCAGGGGAGGCAGGAAGTACCTTGACTCACTGAGTCATCTTGCCAATCCTGTCCACTTTCCCACGACACATCAAAGACTGTAGTAGATGAAGGCATTAACAGAAAAGGAGTGGAGACTGCAGATTTGTAAGGCTCTTTGTAATTTGGTTTTCAAAGATTTTTTTTTTTTTTATTCAGCGGTGACAAATGAGTGGCAATGTCACTCTTGTCCTGGCCAGAGTTTCTGGTCAGAGTTCAGAAGCTAGAGACTGCATGCTCCAGCTGCCAGCATCCTCCTCCTCAACTCTGCTCTTCTAATCTGAATGCTTCCTCTGGATTGTCTCCTGTTACCTGTGGCCTAGCAACCCTTATTCCCAACACCTCCACTCACTTGCCGTCTCTGCCAGGAAACATTGGGAGGCACTCCCAGGCTGGATGTTCTGGAGAGAACATCTCTCCATGTGCATTCCTTCAGCATAGTGTGACTGTCCAGATGAGAATGCCCCCCCCCATAGGCTCATATATTTGAATGCTTGGTCTGAAGTTGGTGGAACTATTGAGGAAGGATTGGGAGGTGTGGCCTTGTCAGAGGAGGTGTGTCACTGGGGGTGGTCTTTGTGGTTTCAAAAGCCCAGGTCATTCCCAGTGTTTTCTCTCTCTGCCTCCTGATTGTGGGTCAGATGTAAATTCTCAGCTACTGCTCTAGCTCCATGTCTGCCTGCCTGCTGCCAAAATCCCTACCACGATGGCCCCAGATTAAATGCTTTCTTTTATAAGTTGCCTTGATCATGGTGTCTTATCCCAGTCATAGAAATGTAACTAAGACACACAGCTTGTCCATCTCACTGCTGTGAAGTCCTGTACTGCCCACCTCTCCCACTAGCCATGCGCAGAAGGTCTTGTTTGTTTCTGTTCTCCAGAACCCAGCACAATGCCCAGGGTGAAGAGACCACTGGCCTCTCTTCACTTCCATTACAATGCGGGGCAACTGTTGATTGAAAAACCTCTGCCAACAAGAATACGTAAATAAAGAACACATTTCCCAGAGTCTCATTCCTTCTGCAGCTGGGGTTAAATTATGACCTCCGTCCTGGTCTCTGGTTTCCCTTTGAGACAGAGAAGGCAGTTCCTGCCCGCTGCTGCACCATGGTCCTCCAGCACGACTCATGACCAAGGACTTCCCCTGGTGGCTCTGTCAGAGGCTGGGCTGAGGCAGCTCTTTCTGCAGAAACTTGATAGCATCAGAACAGGAGGCTTCCAGGCAGCAGACTGTCCTTGTGTGACTGGAGAGCTGGAGGTCCCCTCTTTCTCCGAAAGCTTGCTTTCCCGCCTCCGCTGTCCTGCGCCACTATCGTTTGAGTTCAAATCATCACAGGTGCCGGCGAAACATCGCAGAGTGGCCATCTCGACTTAGAAGAGAGACTCTGGAGGGTCCAGTCTGAGCCAGGGGTCCATTCCTGTCCCATCAGTTCTTGGTCTTACAAACATGGCTGCCAAGGGCCCGTTCCAGTGGAAAAGTGGGAGAATTCTCAGAGACCCCAAAATACAGGCTCTCAAAAGTGTCGTCTGGAGGAAGTAAAGAAAGCAAAAAAGGCCATGTGCTTTAAAAAAAAAAAAAATCTTAAAAGTAAGGAGTCAGAACTGGGAAGTGGTGGCTCATACCTTTAATTCCAGCGCATGGGAGGCAGAGGCAGGTGGATCTTGAGAGGCAGAGGCGGGAGTTCGAAGTCAGCCTGCTTTACAAAGACAGTTTCAGGACAGCCAGGGCTGCACAGAGAAACTCAAAAGATAAACAAACAAACACACAAACTATAAAGTAAGGAGTCAGCTTCCCCACCCGGCCCCCCCCTGCTGTGCCAGTCCCACACTGAGAAATCTGAAAAGGGACAGAAGATGAAAAGCTAACAGCTAGACAGATCACATGGGAGCCTGAGGTGGCATCAGAAAGAAAGGGGAGGGAGGGAGGGAGTCACGTGTCCAAAACAAATTTACACATTGCATGAAATGGCCTCATGTACCCAGTACTGGGGGTTGGTGGGGAGGAAGCCCTGGGCCCACCGATTCTTTGTCCGACCTTAAAGCCAGGTCACATTCAGTGTGTCTTTTTTTGTTTGTTTGTTTGTTTCGAGACAGGGTTTTTCTGTGTAGTTTTGGTGCCTTTCCTGGAACTCGCTTTGGAGACCAGGCTGGCCTCGAACTCACAGAGATCCGCCTGGCTCTGCCTCCCGAGTGCTGGGATTAAAGGCGTGCGAAGCCACCGCCCGGCCAGTGTGTCTTCCTTTTAACACGGGTCCTACAAGGAGTTTCAAGACCCTTCTAACTACTGACTTGACCTCTGACACCTTGAGATTTTTATCTGAGTATAGAAAGTAACAGCCTCATTAATATGTAAAAATCCAGGGAGGTGAGTGTAGCATCTATGAGTTGCTGCCTGGCCCTGAGAGGTTTAGAATTGCTTTCTTGGGGCTGGAGAGATGGCTA